CCTTTTACAAACACAGCCTTTTCTAATTGGTTTGGCTCTAGATTAATGGACTCATTTGGCCCTATGGCTACTGTTAGTAGAATCTACTTACTTCTCTTGATCTTTGGCCCTTACTTCTTAAATTAATCATTTCTGTCTCCAAAGGTTGAAGAAGTCAAGGGCTGTTGAATCCAGGGGAATGGTCTATAGAATGATGGCCTTGGGTCTCCTTACTCATGGGAGTCCTGGTATACTCATCCTTCTTATTTTGGGCTCTTGTCTATTCCAACTTTCGTTGGTTCCATTGTTGTCAAATATTCAACAAATGCATGTACAATCTGTCCCAAAACTGGAGTCCTCTGTCTTTCTCTCTTTCTTTCTCAGGCTAAGACTCCTCACACCTGTACATAGAGGCCACACCCACATTCAGCAAGAAGTTTTTACAGAAGATTGAGATATTATCCTTTTACCCCTTTAAGAAATAAAGAGGATGAAAGATCTCTCAAGAGGATGAGACAAGAAGGGTCTTGGAACAAAGACAAAGGGACAGGACTCAAGACCAGAACTTTGTTGTTAGCATTGTTAAATAAATACAGAGGGGCTGAATTATTTGGAGGGTTGGCAAAATTAACTATAGATGCACCCCCTCCCACCAGCCTATCCACTAAAGAATAAAATGAACCAAACCTTACTTATTTAAACTTGTTCTATCTATCTGGGCTTAACTTCCAGGGTCCTGTTATGATTCAGCAGCCAAAACTGGTCAAAAAGTTCAAAATCCCATCTGTGAGCCCCAATCATTACATCTGTATGAAAAACTTCAAAAACCAGAGGGTGATTTTCCCTTGAATCTTCTTTCTTGAGTGTGTACTATTGCTTGCAATAAATCTTCACTTCTAGCTCACCTATTCTGACTTCTGCACAAATTCTTCCTTGTGTGGAAGTCAAGGACATCCAGGGCTCCTGGGCCTCAGGTCTTCCTCAGAATTACCGGTTAATGTTAGCTATGAGTTAGATTTGTGGGTAATTTGTCTGTGCAGTTTTGGGGGAAACAATGAATCAGCTTTTGATGGGTATTTTGAAGTCCTAGAGAATTTTAGAGAGCTTGAGTAGCGCTTATAACATACAGACTTATAGTTCAACATTATTGGTGCTTTCTCACTTTTCCAGTTTAGCAACACATAAATTAAACAGTAGGTTTTAACCTTATTCTTATAGAGTGCCTCTGACAAAGCTTATTTTTAGGTGAGAAAAGTAAGTACATTTTGTGAAAATTAAAAAAAAAAAGAAAAACAAGCATGGAAAAGGAGATATAGAAAGAACAGTTTGGCATTCAAGTATATTTTATATAATAAACTAATAAATCTTAATTTTGCATTTTAGATGTTTATATTGAATCTCCAGAGTTTGTTTAAATACACACACACGCGTGTGTGTGTTATATCATATGTGTGTGTGTGTGTGTGTGTATATGCATATATAACAAATTGAATTATGAGACATTATGCTAGTATATATTTAGTATTAAATAATAAATATGTACATAACTACACTCAGATATTTGTTTACAAATGTGGGCACCTATTTTTCCATATTTGAGTCTGTCACTTTCATGACTTGTACTGATCATTCCCCAAATCATTGTATTTTACTTTTTAAGCTGAAAATGTCAATATTCCTTCCAGAAATCCTTTTTTCCTCCTAGGATTTTCACCAGGCAGGTGGACCCTGATGCTACTGCTTCTCCTAAGTACCTGCAAGTGTCATCAGGTGCTCTGGAGATGCCATTAACACTGTGCTCATTGGCTGGCATCTTTGACTTCCCCAGAAATTCAACATGGTTTTAAGGATGACAGAGGGGTGCAGATAGTTTTAGCCTTCCCGATTCTGGAAGCTCTTTGAAGTTCCTTTAATTACCACCCCAAAATTAATTTCTGTTAATTTCTTCTAGCATGAAGCCTGCTAGGACCTGCAAGACAAGTCCTTGCCTTTAAAGAGACTTGGAGTTATTTGAAAGCACAAGTAAACCAGCCAGGGCATGAGAATGAAGTAGTTTCGACTCTAGCTATTCACAAGCCCAGAGTAATAGCAATCCCTGAAATACATCCTGATCCAGAGGAAGGCTGAAAACAGATCATTTGTCTCTAAAGAAAATGGAACTGGGGGTTTAAAAAAAATTTAGACAAAATAACTCAAAACTGCAATTCAATGTAGAAAAAAATAAAACAGTTCTGATTGAAAATGCCAAAGAAAATAAATAAGCCTACATCTATTCGTCCCTCCGCAATAAAAATAAAATCTTAAAATTGGTCACTCAAATGGAAGATGTACTTCTTTCTCATTTCAAACTAAAAGCAAAGTAAACCAAAACCTGTAAAAAATTTAGGAGCTTCTAAATTCAGTATAACAAACACAATAGTCCCCAAAAGGCTATTTTTGAAATGAGAATAATTCATGGTCTCCATGAATATTGTGACCTAATATATGCACTTACTTAAAGATGGCATAATAATATTCTTAATTTTCAACTTTTTATAACTAATTTTAACACACTGTTGTTATTTTAATTAGAAAAAGTAGGCAATTAATATATAGCAATACACACACACACACACACACACACATATTTCCCAGCCAAGTGGGACCAACATAGAAAAATGTATATACAAACATCAATGATTTCAAATCATATTTGGCATTGATTTAAGGGGAAAGCAATTAGGGTAATTATGAGAAGAAAAGATTATGCTATCAATTGCCAAATTTTCACATTTTATCTACAACTAGAAGCAAATAGCTATTTGGTATTTTTTTTTTCACTTAATGTGAAATGATATAAAGCAAAAATTATTTAATTCAGTGCATGAGCTTCTGAAGCCTAATTCAGCTGCCTCATATCCACAGACTCCTCCTCTTTTTTTGCTCCCAGTTTGGAGATAGTCTTTTGCTTTATGACTTAAACACATTTTGGGCCCTCCCTGGTGGTGCAGCGGGTTAAAACGCAGCACTGAGAAGCTAAAGCCATTTTCGCCTGAGTTCGATTCCCGCCTGCCGCGGAGGAGATCCACATGGTGAGGTAGGCCTCTCCTGACCCACCCGCTGCTCCCCTCAGCAGTGTATTTCATCGATCTGCCTGTTCTGCTCCCCTCTCTGTCTCTGGTGAATCCTCTCACCCTCCACATCGCTGGCCTGTACCCCAGTTCCATATGAATAAATAAATAAATCTTTTAAAAAAATAAAAAACAAATTAAACACATTTCATTCTACGATCTAAATCTTATTTTATTCCGTTCTCCCATCCAAATCTTATCTTAAAACTTCATTTTGAGGCCCTCCCTGGTGGCGCAGCAGGTGAAAGCACAGCACTAAGAAGCTAAAGCCACTTCAGCATGAGTTCGATTCCCGCCCTGGAGGTGATCCACATGGAGAAGTAGACCTCTCCTGACCCACCCGCTGCTCCCCTCAGCAGTGTATTTCCTTGATCTGCCTGTTCTGCTCCCCACTCTGTCTTTGGTGAAGCCTCTCAGCCCCCTGCACATCTGGCCTGTACCCCATGCATAAATAAATAAATCTTAAAAAAAAAAAAAACACTTTGTTTGACATGAACAATAAAGGATTTCACAGGAAAAAAAAAAAGAGAAATTTACTATTGTTTCTGAAAATGTGTTTTTGAACACTTTATGTCTTTTCTATTAAAAATAAAATACTTCTGGGTCCTCCCTGGTGGCACAATGGGTAAGAATGCAGCACTGCAAGGTGGCTGCAGCACCGCTTCAGTGCGAGTTTGATCCCCAACCCAGAGGTGAACCACATGGTGCAGCAGACCTCTTCTGACCCCCCAGCTGTTCCCCTCAGCCTGTTCTACTCTCCACTCTGTCTCTAGTGAATTCTCTCACCAGCCCTGCATCTCTGGCTTGTACCCCAGTTGTATAAATAAATAAATGTGCATTTATTTATGTATATATAAATAAATACATCTTAAAAAAAAAAGAAAATACTTCGAACCAATATAACACATGCATATATTTCCATTTTTTAAGATTTATTTTATTAATCTCTGCATACAAGACCTGGGCTTAAAGCCAGATGGTGTGTGTCTGTTGGCGGGGCTGGGTAGGGTGAAAGGATTCACCAGAGAGAGTGTGGGAGCAGAACAGGTGGATCTACTGAGTTACACTGCCCAGTGGGAACAGTGGGTGAGACAAGGAGAGTCTGGCCACACCATTTGTGGGTCAACTCCTGGGACTGAACTCATGTGATAGTGGCTGAGGATATGTTGATAGCACTGAGATTTTAACCCCTGTGCCTCCTGAGAAGCCCTCCTGGGGGAAGGAAATTCTTTTCACCAGTTGGAGCAAACTATCCTTTACTCCCAAGCTGAAGATTGTGTATAATGAGAAACTGACTTTCAATTGTATATTTTCTTTGTATTTTAAAGAATTTCCATTGTTTTCAAAATTTGAATGAGGGCTCTTAAGGGTTGTGATTTGAAACTCAGGCTAGACTACAGATTCTCAAGGAAAGAATCACAAGTTAGACTTTAGTTAACTTACATTAACTGAATCCACAGGTATTGAAAAGTTATATAAAATATCCGATATATATATATATATATATATGTACACACACACATATACCTATACACAAGCAGACACACACACACATATAATGTTCCCCATGTGTAAGTAAAATAAAACAAATGTTCAGTAATATCAATATATTCTCATTAACAACAACCTCTTATATTCTAGTTTTCTGTACAGGGGCCCAGTTAATGAATAACCAAAGTTGCCAAAAAAAAAAAAGGAGGAAACATTATTTTTTATAATAGACCTACTGACTTCACTAAAAATGGTAGTCATGCTGGAGAGAAGACTTATGTGTCATCTAATTATTCCTGAATGGAACCCAAAGTTATTAAGCTACTAACAATCTGGGCCTAAGAAAATGACAGGAACATTATTTACTGGTTTCCATTATCACAAAAGGTTTCACTCATATGAAGAGAAAAACTGTCCTACCCAGATGCTGTCTTCTTGCTTGTACTGTTTCCAGTTACGTCCTGTGTCACTGAACATCAGGCTGTAACTTGTCACCCAGTCAGAGCTTCCATACCGTCCCTGCGTGGCCACCGCTGTGATCTCCACTCTGTTTCCCAGGTCCAGTTGGAGCCACTGTTGAGCACTGGAATCTGCTGGGGACCAACCGCCAGTTCCTGGAAGAAAATCAGAGAGTCGTATCTTAGTAACATTGCACACAGTCACAACATTCCACTCTCAACCAGCAAAGAAACACAGCTAAGATGCCCACCCAAAAGAGGCCCTACCAGTCCCTTCCTCTACCTCCCATTAGTAGCTTAAACTTCATATTGAATGTTGTTTATCCACTATGATTCTTCAGCTTTTCTCAGTCATCACAGTGTCTATTTTTTTTTTTTTTTTTGTCTAATGGAATCTGCTTTGTTTTTAATCTTTTCACAATGTTAACTTTTACCATGTCTTATCCTTTGTCTGATGGGTAACTCCTGTCTTCTTTCTTGCAACATCCTCACTCTTTTCTACGTTCCTTCTCGCTTTACAACTACATACATCCTCTTTTCTATAAATTCATGTTACAGCAACTTATTTTTAGGAAAGGCCTGTATTTGTGTCTGTTTCCACAAAGCGTTGTTTTGTGTGGCAGCCTTCTAGAAGCAGCCTGAACCCCAAGGAGCAAGAATACCCCACCGAACTCCCTCCCTGACAACTGTTTTAAACAGGCTCTGTGTGTATCATGCACTTTATCCTTTTAATATGCATGAGTACTATTTTGTTCTTAAATTATTTGATGTGATTTAGAGAGTTTTCTATTTGTTCAGGAAATAGTCACTTTATTTCATATGAATTAATAGCAACTACTTCATCACTTCATTTAAGATGATAAAAGGTTTTATAGGAATGTTCTACTTTGGGGTAGCAGCAAAACCTTGACATGCTATGAGGATACCACAGGTCAGATATTTTGTTGTGGAAGCAAAGATGAAAGACCAGGGACCATACCTTCACGAGGTTAGCATTCATTTACTCACCAGATGTCCATTGAGAAATAGGAGCATGCTGGTACTGAAGAAAGCAAGACATGTAAACAAAAATGTGCAGTGTGTTGTGCAAGTGAGGCAAACACAAGGCACCATGGGAGCAGTGAGGACAAAGTGCCTCAGTGGGTGATGAGGAAGCCTTTTTAAAGACATGATGGAAATCTTAAAACCTAAAGCAGGCATAGCATTTCCCAAGTGAAGAAGGTTGACTATTGGCCCTCCCTGGTGGCGCAGCGTGTTAAAGCACTGTACTGAGAAGCTAAAGCCGCTTCTGCATGAGTTTGATTCTCGCCTGCCCCGGAGGTGACCACATGGCATGGCAGGCCTCTCCTGACCCGCCCGCTGCTCCTTTCAGCAGTGTACTTTGTCGATCTGCCTGTTCTGCTCCCCACTCTGTCTCTGGTGAAGCCTCTTGTTGTCCCTGAGCCTCTGGCCTGTACCCCAGTTCTGTATGAACAAATAAATCTTAAAAAAAAAAAAAAAAAGAAGGTTGAATAGATAAAAATTTGGATAGACATTACCTCCCAGAGTGTCAGAATAACAAATGCAAAGTCTGAGGGACACAGGTCAAAGAGTGCCATATTCATGGATGTCATATGGTTTGGTATACTTGGCACACAGGAATGTTCTAACATGGAACAATATCTTTGGATCCTAACTTCATTATATGACAGACTGTAATTTTACAGAAAATCTGTATTACTTTTTGCTTAGTTGGAAGATTTATGGCATACATTTTCTACTTTCATTTCATACAGGAGTAAAGAAGTCAGAATTAATATTTTTGAGATAACATTGGTTTGCAATATTGCATGAAATGCAGAGATATAGGATCACATCTCCTCAGATGTGTGTCACCACATCACATACAACACCAAGGGCCCACAGGCCTCCACTGTTGCCTACTGGACCCCTCCACCCCACTTTTGCTTTCCACCCTGCCCATTCCCTTCTGGTAACTTTAATTTTACAGACAGATTTTATTATAGGATTGGTTTTGAATGTTCTGCTTCAATGTTCATTTTAACTGATCCCATAGTTTAGAAAATATCTAAATCCTAAGTGTCAGCTATTGCTAAATATCTTTTGACATGGATGTAAATGGGATAAAGGTGACTATTTTCTTAAGCACTTTACCTTTTATTAAGATTATTAAGCTCAGGGCATGTGACTGGTGAGTTCATTGAAATTTTAATTTAGACGAGCTAATAAAAATTACTTTTTTATTTTGACCTCTGCCCTTGAAAGTCATTTTAGGGATATCTTAGTCTAATTTGTTGCTATCTAAGAAGGAGTCAATGGGACCTTTTCTTAGTAAATGCCAATTTTATGAACCCTGCTCCTTCACTGCAGACAACTATCATCAAATGGGCTCTATAAGTGGATGCCAGAGATGCAAGTCATGAGGTGAGTCCTACTCTGGCTGAAAACCACATACTATAAGTTGTGTGTTGATTTTCTACTAATCAATAGTATGTGCTTAATAGCTTTTGTGTGATAGTTTTGTTTTTATACTGCTTGGAATTTTCAAATGCAGAGAAAAAGAATGTGTTGTTACTATATAATGTATTTTTATTAACTGTTTTGAAAGACTGTAGTGACAGATATTGCTGCTAATTCACTAATATCCATTTTCTTTATTTTCTGTACCAATGGGACTGAAGTGGGAGGATGGTTTTATTACATTTTCAGTTCCCCATAGGATTAGAGCTAGGGACACATGAGCAAATTCACATGAACAAAAACGTGTGAGAAGAATATGTGTTAGTTGCTGATCACCATGTCTCTTCTCCAGTTGATTTTTCTCTCCCACAGCTAATGGATTCAGTTGCCAATAAGACTCTAGGTGATGACAGAATGCAGCATGGGAAGACCCTGTGTTTCTGCATCATTACATGGAGTCAAGCATTCTCTTATGTCACACCTTTCTTACTCATGTGGAAGAACCAAATACTAACTGGGCATAACCCACTATGTGATATTGTACTTTAGCCTGCATTGATACAATGCAACCTGTTGTGATGTGTATAGTAAATCCCAAAAAAGTACTTGAGGAAACTAAGACCCAGCAAGTTTTAAACACTAACACTTATGATTCAAGTACAGTTACCTGGGATGTTACATAATAGAAAAAAATGTTTTTAAAATCCCAGAATATCAGTAAAGAGGAAAGGTACGAGGGGATGGCATTTAAGCAGACATTCTGAGATGAGAAATCCAGAACATTTTTCTCAATCAACTCTCAACATCTTCAACAAGTCCCAGTCTCTAATCCACTCTTTGTTCCCCCAGTTTCTTAAAACTGACAGAAACTTAAGAAGACTATCTATAAAAAATTCTAAAATTATTCTAAAATCAACTTTTATTTATATTTTCCTGTTTATCTCATCAATTATTTTCTTAATAAGAAGAAAAATACATTGCATAAACTAAATATTTTTCTCTAAACTATTAAAATATAGTAGGGAAGAGATGTGTGTGGTCCTTTCTTCTGTACATTTAAAGTATCAGTGAATCTACCCTTGCATGTTTCCTTCATATGACATACATTTCTGCTACTGAATTACTTCATTTTGCAAACTACAGGTTTTATTACTCATATTTATGTGGTTCACTAATAAAGAATACATTTTCCAGATTTAAAAATTGGTTGTGTAATATAGGACTTGTATCTTTTATGTCACCATTACTAAAATTAAATATCCTAAATTTTAACTATTTATTCATGATCCCCAATTGTTCACAACTAGTTTTCTTAGCCATACTTTAGTTTTCTTTCATGTATCTGTATTATGCCTATCATGGTCTTATATGTTAGCAATTTATGGAGAAGATGGGAGAAATAAATAAAATGACAAGGAAACACTCCCCTCATTTTGCAGAGAATAAAATAATAAAATGCTTATGAAAAGCCAAATCAAACCAATTTCATTAAAAGTGGATGTTATGAAGAAAAAAGGGATCCTTGCATGCTGTTGGTAGAAATATAAATGGTAGTCAGTCACTATGGAAAACAGTATGATCATTTTACAAAAATTAAAAATAAAACTGTACATGATCAGCAATTCCATTTCATTCTGGAATGAAAGCATTCACTCATAAGGCAACCTGTACACCACATTTGTGGCAACATTATTGATGGACAAATGGATAAAAGACATTGTGATATATATGTATGAGAGAATACTAGTAAGCTTGAAAAAAAAAATAAGGAAACCCTACCATTTGTGATCACATGGATATACATTGAAGACAGTAGACTAAATGAAATTAACAAGACAGAAAAAGACAAATACAGTAAGATTCCATTCATATGTGGGGTCTAAACATACCACAAACAAAAATAGCTTAAGAATTAATCCAAAAGAAAAGAGAACAGATTTGTTGTTATCAGAAGCAAAGGAAGATAGGAAGAGTAACTGGAGCAAGGTAGTCGAGATGTTGTCTCTCTGTGAAAAGCTGAATGTTAGTGGAATCTACTGTGGCAAACTTTACACTACAGTCGTGAATGAAACCATCAGGCAGCACACCTTAAACTTAGTGATGCATGTCAACTATTCCTCAATGATACTGGCAAAATAAATAAAATAAACAAACAAATAAATAAATATTCTAGAGATTTATTTAAATTTGTTAAATCAATCATATCTCCTTTAACTCACAGTTAAAACTTAGCTTGATAACCCCCTTGAAATTAACCATAATGGAATCGCTGATGTTCACATTCATTAAAACATCAAGTTAAAAATTTCCCAAACCCAGGCACTTCTGTCCAAACTTTCACAGTGGAAGGACACTCTCTGGGTGATAATTGCCAAGGACTCCTTCCCTGCTGTTGAAGATGCTACCTGCATTACAGCTAATCGGCAAGACACCCAGGTTCCCATGGTTGCTATGGCAAACACTTTGTTCCTACCACTGAACAATAAATGTGTTTTCACAAATGATGAGTAGCCTGAAGATATATTTTCAGTCGCACTAAAGATATGCCATGCCCACACTCCCTATCTGCTTCTGAACTATTCTCTACATTGGGGACACACGGATATATGCATTTGGCAAGGTAAAGTTGATAACTAAGGCAGTATATGTTAATGAAGGCAGTAAGTACAGTCTGTAGTCATGGCTTTGATATCAAT